TCAGAAATAAAGTGGCTTCACGTTGCCTTAGCGCAAACTCCCTTTAAGTTTTAAAGATCTGTAATTTCCCTAAAGTTATAATAACACCCCAGAAGTCATGAAATCATCCGGGACGTTTTCATAAACAAACTTAAGCTTAGATAAAGCCACCTGTGGCACCGGTTAAAAACACTTCCCGGGTAAACTCGTAAGTGATGGATTTTATCAGTCTTGTTTTCTGTTTTGACTAAATTTCTAAGCCGTTTTCCAGTGTGTCTTGAAATAGAAAAAGGGCTGAAGGGTCATGCTGGAATAACATACAGACCCCAAGACCCAGACAGCTGTAAAAGTCACCCTCATGGCAGAGCTAAACTCTGCTGGTGGATGCTGGCATTTGTCCAGCTATTTAATACCTGGTGTTTCCTTACTACAGGGTCAAATTGAAGTGACTTTTGCCATATACTTTCATCTCATTTTCTGGTCTCAATGTCCATGTGGACTCGTAAGGATCATGAGAGCATCCGTGTGATTTCTCTCAGGAAATAAGCGTTTAAACCATAAAAGAAAGGTCTCTCCCTGTCTTAAAATAAATAAATCTTAGGTGCTACAGAGAGAATGGACCGTGGGACTGGAAAGTTGTGCATGCTGGAACTCAGTAGCACCCTGTCTGGTTTGAAGAGGCATTGATGGATGGAAAGGAGTGCTGTCTGCACAGGCACAGATTCAGCTGGAAACAGTCCTTTGCATTTTCATACATAGCGGGAGAGATCTGCAAATTTTTTATTATAAAAGTTTGGTTATCTGCTTTGTAAATGGAACGTATCACAAATATTGACAACAGATGAACTTCTTTTGTGTTAGCTGGGTGCTTCTGAGTAAGCCAGCGATGGCTCAGTACACGACAGGGGGAAGAACTGCTGCTTGCCAGATCCCAAGTGGAAACAGTTAAGTCTGCATAAAAGTATTCCTGCATGGGGCTAGCCTTGAGCTTATGGGAGCCCCTCTTAGAAATGAGTAAGGTTTTTGTGCTGGTCAGTTGAAGGGTTTAAGAGATGATGAAGCAAAGATTGGGGGTGTTTAACTATGGGAAGGAAAACTCAAAAGGATCTTTTAAAATACCCTCTTCTTAAATTTGCTTTCCCCAGTCCGACAGGAGCCAAGCGGTGCTGCAGCAATGTCCTGCTGTTAGTAATGACACCAAACCATCCCCGAGCTGCAAATGTCGTGCCGTGTGTTGGGCTCGGGAAGGAGGGGCCCGGGCAGCGCTGCCGCTGCTCGCTCAAAGTGTCCCCGGAGGGGCTCTGCTTAAGGGAGTATGTGCACATCTCCTGGATGTGCCTGCGTGTCCCCCTCCTCGGGCCGTTTGGCCAGCAGAGCTAAAAATATTGCTGGGGCTTGGAATCCTTGTCCCTCGGAATCCTGTCTCGTGCGAGGTGAAGCCTGGGTAGCTTTTTATGATCTGTGATCATGGTATAATGCTTTTAGTAATGGAAGGTTGAGATCTCTGGCTCAGTGGAAATTAAGTCATCAGTTAAGTAATCTCTAATAATTTTTCTTTTTTAGTGTGACGTTTCTTCTTGCTTTGATAATTGGAAAAAAATAAGCAGCTCTGTGCTTGTGTGTTGAAATCTCACCAGTCTTTCATCATACATTTAATCCTACACAGCATGCAAGAGTAGGGGAGAACAGATCGAACTGTAGTAAGAGTAGGAAAGAACCCAGATTTTCCATTTTGTGAGAAATTCCATAATTGTCGCAATGCTTTTCAATATGAATGTTTCTGTAAAATGAAATTCCAAAAAATCCTTTGATTTTGTTCAGGAGGGATTGTTTTTTTATAAAGTCAGTGTTCAATTTTTCCATTTAAAGATCGTGAAACTATTTTATGGCATTACTGAAATCTTCATTTGAGACTTGTTTTTTTATTTTTACGAAATTTGTCGTACCCAGGTTTGTAATTGAAGTTCTGAATCTGGGAAATCACTTGACTGTGCTTAACTTCACCCCTATTCTTATGTCCCATTGAAATTAATGTGATTTAAGAATGTACTACGTTAATTATTGATGGTCCTGATTTAAAGAATAGAAAAGTAATTATGGAATTGGAAAATTAGAGGGTGATCAAAAATTTATTTGAGCAACAATTTTTGGAAATCATTAAAAGGGTGAGGAAGGCATTTTTGCTGTATGAATATTATGTGCCCAAAGCACCAGTAATGTTTGGCTTTGCTATAAAACACAGTTGACAACGTGAGACCAACTTAACAGTCACTTACTTGTTTCTACTATTTTATTAACTCTCTAAATTACAAAAAAAAAACCCCAACCTTTTGCAAAACCCTTCTGGCACTTAAGAATTTGCAGGAAATGGGAGCAAGATGTACAATTTTTACATTGTTATAGTGAAACATTATAGTATTTTTGGTATTGAATGAGGTCACTGTTGTTCCTGCTGCTTTGGCTATGCAACTCTGGAAGCCTGGCTGAGAGAATTTAGACTTTATTTTCTCGTGATTTGTACTGGAGGTCTGAGGGGAAGCACTAAATGTTGTCCAGTTCCTTCCTAGATTGCTACAGTGATTCCTTCCTGTGAAGTTAATTGTACCTCTGTCTTATTTTTGCTTAAAAATTTGTCACTCAGGCTCCAAACCTGCAAGAACTTTGCTTAATACAACTTTTAGAACAACTTAAAGCATGTATGCTTTTTGAATTTAGTTACGGCAGACTTAAAACTGTAGGGTGTTAGGAAATACTCACATTGAGGGTGTCGGAATGACTTTCTGCCTTGTGGAAATTTGTGCTATTGCTCCCAAAACTGTGTTCTGTACTAAGACATCACGTGCCCAGCCGTTCCAAGGGGGTCTGAGGAATGGGCAGTCCCATCCCCACGAGTGTCCTGCGCTGCTCCTGCCCAAGAGCCTGAAATCCAGGGCTGGGATTGCGGCGTTGGGGCTGACCTAGCCCTTAGGAAAGGAGCAGAGAGCGGTTGTGGGCTCCAGGCACGTGCACCCACCCCTCTGATGGAAGATCCCGCAGGGATTTTGCAGGGATAGCTCAGCCAGATACTTAGCAGCTGCCGACCTGCTGCGGTTTTCAGGTACGGGAGCGGTGGGTCGGGGTTACCTCTCCACACCGTGCTCGGGCTGTGCCGCCTCGGTGCTCGTTCCACGGGTTGCGTGACGTGGGAGGAACCTGGTGGGGCAAGAAACACCACGGCTGTCCTCGGGTGAGCCGTCCCTGCTCGTTAATCAACTCCCTTGCCAGCTCTTCGTGGCCTCGTCACTATGATCGCGTAGCAGGACGGGTTTCATCCGAAGCAAGGAGCACGCTCTCCGTATCGTCCGTTCTCTCCACAGCTGGTCCTGCACATGGACCAGTAGCTTGCTGACCCCAACTATTCCCGTCTTGTAAATTTAACTCTTACTGTCTTAATTCGTGATAAAAAGAGACTGTAAGTCTACAGTCCAACATCTAAAATTGATGATAGATTTACAATCATTCGACAAATAAGTTTGTTATTTGTGTGGGTAGCGTGTGAGGTTGTATTTAAATGTCTGGTTACGTGCAGCAGGCAGAAGCAAATAAAGGATCACAGCGATTTCTCGGTCTGTTGTTTCTTACATTGGTGACTAAACCTTGCTCTGCCGAAGGTCATACTGGCAACTTCTCAAGAGAGCAGAAACCGCTTAATTGCGGAAGATGGAGAAATTGGAAAGGCTTGCATCTTTTTGAAGATAATTAGACTTGCACTCCTTTTTTTTGTTTTTTTTTTTTCTGCTTTAGATGAAAAGTAAGATGACATAACTTACAGAAATTACAAAGCATTTATGTCCTGTGTGGATACCAGGCTTGTGAATTATGAGTGATATGAAAGGAGAGCACACGGTCCGGAGTTGTCTTAAATTTGACAGAAAGCAGCTAGTATGCTGGATTATAGGTTTTACATTTACAATTGCCTTGCAGGCTTTGGGGATTAATATAAAAGTGATGCTTCTAACCTCCCTGATGAGCAAACGCCGAACTGTAGCTGGAGGCCGGAGTAGGTGATGCTTTTCCATGCCCCAGGTGAAGAGGGCACCAGCTGTAGTTCTGACAGCCACCTACAGCAGATCTGGGAGGTTTTTTCTTTGTAAATATGGCCATACTGTTGATTTTAGGAAAGGAGGACTTGAAAAAGGGCTTTGCACTTGAAATAGGAGGTGGGGAAGCTTTGTTAGAGGTCCACGGTCACTGAGTTAGTGCCCGGGTCTGTAGAACAGGAATAGTCTCATTTTAGGACCTGCATGGGAGTGTTGAGAGGATTAATGACTGTTCGTAAAGTGCTTTGACCTGTAAACTGCTGCATTATTACAACATTTTTTTATTGATCATAATAGCCCATGAAGCATTTAGAAGTAGTCACTAGCTATTAAAAGCTTCACAAAGCGAATTATGCTGTGCTGCCATGGTCCCTTCCTTGTCCCCTGAAGCAGTATGTATCCTGTCAGTATTTTAATTGGGGAAATGATCTGCAGTCAGGAGTAAATCTTCAGCTAGTGTTGTTACTCAGCATAGATTGTTTTTATTTTTTTAATTCAGCTGAAGATTTGCCTGGGGCGTCTGACAGAAATTTTGCAAGCTTCAGATCTCTGATTGTATATTCTTCTAATTTCACGCTATTTGTACAACCATTTTGTAATTTACATTTGTGCAAAGACACCTTGTGTATGAAAACGCTACAAAATCCTTGTAAGACGGGTGGAAGTTAAAAGCTTTGTTTGGGTCTCATAATGCTGGGCCACATCCAAACCCACGGTTAAATAATTAAAACAGGAACACTAACAGCTGGTTGGAGCATGAACGCCTGTCTATAAATTAAAACATGAAAATACTACTAAGGCACTTTGATCGCTTTCAAATGTTTTGGGAAGAAAGATGGCCAGATCTGTCTGCTACTTCTGCACAAATTTTCATTTTTCTTCATCTAACTGGGATTTGCTGCGGAGCTTCTAAAAGTGTGATTCTCTTTTTCATTTATGCAGGGGAGGAGCTGGATCGTGAAGCGGAGTTATGAAGATTTCCGAGTACTTGATAAACACCTTCACCTATGTATTTATGACCGGCGCTTCTCCCAGCTCTCAGAGCTACCCCGCTCCGATGCCCTGAAGGACAGTCCAGAGGTAAATGATCCACTTTGTAACCATTGGACGATATTTTCAGTTGTGTCCAAAGTAGTTTCAGCGTGGCCTGGGTTAGGTTCAGCAATCGGTTAACAAGATCAGTATGTGTTTCTACCCTTAATTTCAGTGATTGAAAGGGAAATGCCCTGTGAGTTCATATGAATCAATGTGCTGCTAAAAGTGGAATCATTTTGGGGAGTGTCAAGAAGGAAGCTGTCCTGTTGGTACCGTGAATAAGGATTTTGTTAAGTCTTTGGAAACTCTTTCGCTGATGGGGATATTTCCGTGATGTTAGCAACTTAACATTCCTTGGAAATCGTTCTGCTCTAGGGCTTCAGCACTGCAAGAGGGATACCATTTGGAATGCTAGACTTACATTTATAAACTGAAAATTCCTGAAGCTGGTTTTTAAGAGCATTTGCATTAATGCATTATTTAAATGGTCTTTAAGAAGCTTAAAGAGTGATTATTTCTTTTCCTAAATGAATAAGAGGTATTTTTCATTTCTTGGCTTACCTGGAACATGATGAGCTGGAATTCCTTCGGCTGCCTGCCGGTTGATAATTGAGAGATTTGTTCGTGTCCAAAGTAAGCTTCTGGAAAGTAGCAGGTGCATCTTGACTGCATCATTTCAGAAGATGTGGAGAGGGAGGCAATGTAATGCGCGGCCACAGAGGTTATTCGAGCCCCAGGAGAGCATGAAACAAAACTGTTCAGGCTCAGTCTGTCTGCGGGAAAAGCGTGTGTCACGGTGATGGGCAGTGCCCGTCACTTCATTTCACAGATCACTTGTCTCTGGGACCTGGAGTTGGGTGTTTGCCCCCTGTTACCAAGCCCAACTATGGGAAAATCTTGCCATGCTGTGTCGGGAGGCTAACGTTGCCTGCCCTCGAGGTGCGTAGCTGGGAAGGGAAATGAGGAAATTGGGGCCGTTCCAAGCCTTCAAAGGAGAATCCATCCGGGATCTGCAAATCAGAATCTGGGTTCTGTCAGTGCTGAGCGGGTGAGGATTGATTGCTTTAGAACAGCACACAGTGCCTGAAATCGGTCGGACTCCCACTGGAGTCTGCAGGGCTTTTGCCACTGAATATAGGAAGTTGATAATGCGGTCCCGTTGCTCATCAGAGAATCAGATTTATTAGTTGCTTTGGCTTAATGCAGGCTATTTCTGAAGGGAACGTAACGTTTCTAGTCTCTTAAATTCAGCAGAAGCAGCAATAGGATAATGAATTCCTGGGGTGGTTGTTTTTTAATTATATTTTAGGCATTCCTATCTCTTGTATCTTTATTTGTACAACTTCTTTAATATGTACGTTGTAGCATGAGCTTGAAAATCTGCATTATATCTGTAAGCACAGGAGATGTAAAGATGTTGAACAGCTCTACTGCTCTGTGAAATGTAATTCTGCAGCTGTGTGGTGTCTCGTACTGTATTTTTTATTTTTAATTGACCAGATTTGAACAGATATTTGAGGAGAGCAATGTTTTAAACAGTCCTACAAACTCTGGGCTACAATACTGCTTTATAACACTGTGAAGCTTAGGAAAGACCTCACTAGCTTCTCTTTAATAAAAACAAGTTTACTATTCTAGAAGGGACATTGCGAAGTGTATTTTTAAAACCCTCTTGTAGTATTTGAAATATTACTTCTTCACCAAGGGGTCAGTCTGAGTTGCCACATCCTTGAGGGTTTGCAAGTGGGTGGAAATAGCAGCCAGTGTTTTGTTTCACTAAATGGTTTTCAGATGTGTTTGATGGCCATAATGCAAATGATTTCTGTGTATGTGAAATTCATGATGAGATGAAGGCTTTAGATTGAAGGTATCTTGACATGAGAAATTGTGACAATCCACATATCTTATAAAAAAAACATTATGACTTTCACAGGGAGCTGCTGCTTTACACCTTTTTTGTGTAATCATTGTAACACTGTGTGTTAGTTTGCTGTCCTTCTCCAAATGACAGATTTCCTTGCAAAAGGGAATATATTTCTGTAACGCTAGCCTGTGCCAATGGATAATTTATGGTCTCTCCCAACTGTGGTGTATTAGTAGAAAAACTGTGTCTGTTCCTTTCTGTTCCAGCTTGTCACCCAGATGCTGATGGCTTACCTGTCACGGCTCTCAGCCATCGCAGGCAACAAGATAAACTGTGGGCCAGCTCTCACATGGATGGAGGTATAGCATGAAGCTTAAATTGTTCTTTGTTTCCTGACCTTAGCAGCAGAGCAAGCCATAAATGTGCTCTCTTGCCTTTCCAGAAAGAGGTATAATCCTTCCAGACCTATTGGTGTCACTGAAATGCTGTCCTAAAAGCTTTATTCCCCTTTTACCAGCATACAGGTGGCCACAGAAGGCATAGAACAAACCGAATCTGATCCAGTGTTAAGACTATAGGAGATTTTTTTCCCCCTTGCTTGGATTTTGTCACCCAAAGACTTACCATTCTGCTGATACTCACAAATGAAAGGAGGTGGCAGTTCTAGGGAAGCGGTGATTGGGTCTCTGAGCCGCCTGGGAATGTCCAGTTCCTGGCTGAAAACTCTGAGTAATAGGTTGCAGAAAGCACACGCATTCTTACACTCCTTTTTGGCAAGGCAATACTGCAAGTGTGGCAAACTTCTAGAGCTGCTGGAGCTGTCTCAGTGAGGGTGTTTGCCTGCCCTCTTCTTTTTCTTTTATTTTTCCTTGCGATAGCTACAGAAGCAATAAATATTCTCTGCTCCTGTTTGCCGTCTCTGTTGGTTAAACTGCTCAACAGAGCCCGCGTTGTGCCTCCAGTGGCCCTGCTTGTATATTGTGAATTGCAGCTGCAGCTTTGGTTTCTCTGTTAAAGGTCTTCTTCCATCTTAAACAATAGACCTTCTTGGGCACAGAGTGCAGGAAAGAATGGGGCTGAGTGATCAAGGCCACCTGCCCGTGTCGGCGGTGCTGTTGCTGGTTAGTCTGGGTAGAGATATGTCTGTCTTTCCACTGCCCGACGCTGCTGCTGTACACCAGGAATAGAAACAACTATTATTAGGCAGTTGCAATTCCTTTTTAAATGGTTGTGATAAGGATTGAGTGCGTTTTCCTGCAATTTTCCCCACTGATATCTTCCTCACCCTGAAATCCTTTGGGATGAGAAAAATCATGGAAACCTTCTCAGCACAAAGGGAGGAAGGAAGTTATAGAGAAAAACTGTAGAATTTACAGCAACACAGTGGACCTAGAGACTACAGCAAACCTGTTGCACATGCAATACAGAATAACACTTCTGATTAACAAAATTTTACACGAGCACAAAATGTTGAACGTAGGCTGATGATTGTAGCGAGGGGTGGGAGCCACGTTTTCTCGCAAGAAGAAATAAAAAGATGGGAGAAAGTTGAAAGTGGCTCTAGTTTTCAGTTTGACGGCATTTCTTCCTTACCTCAATGCCTCTCCTCGAGCGTTCATTCCACTTTGCAGAGGATTTTTGTAGTCACTTTTGTATTGCCATTTTAAGTACTTCAGGGAAAACAATACGATTTGGTGTTAGAGGGAGGTGTAAGCATCCACTGCCATGTCACTGTTGGTACACAAAGATGCACAAATACAGCATTTTCCTCGTTAGTTGGATGGGGACATAGAACCTTCTGAAACGCTCTCTGTGATTTGCTCTTTGGCTTCCTCTGTGGGCGCTGTGCCCTGCGCTGCCCCTCCGTGCTGCTCTCCTTGGCGGGGGGGCCCCAAGCTGCGCTGTCTCTCTGAATCAGCTTGAAGCCTCTGCCATGTATGAGCACCAACAAAATGCCCCCACGCTTGTCCTCAGCTGCCTCACGGTCTCCTGTGCTCTTTATTTCAGATTGATAACAAGGGGAATCACCTGCTAGTCCATGAGGAATCATCCATTAACGTTCCTGCTATTGCTGCTGCCCATGTTATTAAGAGATATATTGCTCAAGCAGCAGACGAACTGTCCTTTGAGGTAAATAATTAAAGCAGCTTACATGCCTTGTTGTCATATAGAGAAAGCGTAATGTGTGTGCGTGTGTCCTTCAGGAATATATCAGGATGCTCTCAGAATGTTTTGTGAGGTGAAGCTTAGAAGATTCAGTTAAATTTTCGTTTCGCAATGGGTTGGATACAGGGAGGAGGAGTTCAGTCATCTTTAAAATACAGCTTTTCTTGGCTTTAGTCTCTTCTGATTAAACAGATACTGCCAAGGACTCTTGCCTGGTCTCTGAGCAGCAGCAGACCCTGCATACTTTGTGCTGTGCAGCGTATGAAAAGTATGTTGTGTCTGTTGTGGAAGGCTGTCCACAAGTGTGTGTGTGTGTGGACATGTGCCAATTTAATTATTCATTGGCCAGTTTACACAACCTGTGTTCCTGTTAACAAGTTCGTGGCTAAAACCATTTTTAAGAGCTTCTGCTCCCACAAAAAGTGAACTGTCGAAGAGTTTGGTACTTAAAGGGCAGGGGATAATCTAAAACTGTTCTGAAAATCTTATTTGATGCAGAGTGGATAATCTAAAACTGTTCTGAAAATCTTATTTGATGCAGAGTAGGAGCTGCTGTGGAGCAAAGACATGGATGATCAGACCCTGGAAGTCTTTGGGTGTCTGGCTCTTGTCTATTCCACCCGGAAAGCAGCGTTTTATGCTCTGATTGTTTATGTGCAGTGCTGCTGTTATTGGAGCATTCACAGTGTTGTACTAAAAAGTGTGAAGGAAAACAGTGCCCGAAGGAGTTTTGGTGCTCACATTCTTAGCGAGCAGTACAGGAAGTAAAAATAAAAATAATAGTGAAAGTCCAGTGCTGCCAGGGTTTTGTTCATACTCAAAATCGAGGCAGTTATTAGCGTGCTAATCAGAAAGATATGTGGGTCTGTTGTCTTCCAAGTTCAAACGCATGCAGTGCGGGATACAGGCTGTTTGTCAGTGTCTCAGTGCTAATAAAAGCACTACGATGGCACTCCCTGCTTGTAAATCTTGGAGCTCTGTGCCAGCGGGCTAACTTGGCCTTGTAACTCTCATGCAGTCCAAGGAGTTGGTATGAGGCGTAGCATGCAAGGGGGAAACCAAGGCACGTGTGGCTTGCCAAGTTTATGCAGTGAGAAACCTTGGCAGAACAGAAGTGGAATATGATCCGTCGTTCTACGATGCTGCCTTCTGGTCCCTAACCCACACCATTCTCTTTATCCTTAGGCTGTTGTTAGTTCGAACAGGCAGTTGCTCCCCAATACTGAGGAAAATACCTGGCTTCTCTACTCCTGGTGGTGACAGCAGTTTCCTTACTGGCAATTTGCTTTGCTGTTGGTTTGCTGTTCCCTTGAGGAAATCACTTTGCTTCCTTGTGTCTCAGTTAGCCCCGTCTGAAAAATGGGGATGTGTTTCCTTCTTTTAAAGCATTTTGAGGTCCATCAATGGAAACCAGCAGGTTAAAGTTGGGTATTACTGTTAATTTTTACTATACCTAACTGCAATATTGACTTAGGTTCTGTCCCTTCTTCTCTGGCCTCTCATTCTTTATTATAGAGGCCACACATATCTTGATTCCCACCAAGCCAAATTTAGTGTTGATTATACCGATTTCCTTCTGAACTATTGCAGAATTACATTTTTTCATGGGAATGAGCAAAGCTTCAGAAAACCTGTTTGGTCTCGCTGGTCATTGTCCTTCCCGTTGCCGTAACACCACCCCGCCTCTCCTCTGCTCATTTTCTAATTAAGAAAAGCATGTCTTGATCGATTTGTGAACTATAAAGGGAGCTCTTAACTTTTTGCTGCGAAAGGAAACAAGGAGACATGTGTTGATGCCTACGTACTCTTATGTAGGACATGTAGTAAAAATTAGTTGGGCTACTTGAGAATATTTTTCCAAAGTGTTTCACACCATCCCCGCTTACTTACGTCCGCGGTTTAATCGGAACGCTTCTGTACCCTTTGGCAGAGAGCCTGCTGCTTTTCAGAATTGTTTCCTTATGAACAGCTGTATCCTGTCTGTTGTATAATGCAGTAACTCTTCCACCTCACAGTTTGACTCGACAAAGGCAGATGGCTCAAGGCTGGCATCGGTGCAGTTGCTCACAAGCCGTGCAGTTTTTTGCAGAGCTCAGGAGGGCGGTTAGTTGAATAGCACGTTCCTCCTAGCCCCGTTGCAAGCCGTGATTGATGTTGCCAATCTCTTGCAGGTGGGAGACATCGTGTCTGTTATTGATATGCCACCAAAGGAGCTGACCACCTGGTGGAGAGGCAAACATGGATTTCAGGTAGGCACAAGCATCAGAAGTGAGAGTACGACTTTAAATAGAGGCCAGAAGCTCGGCAGGGTGTCTGTCGAACCGCCGTGGCTGTGCAGGATTACTCGTGGATGCAAGCAGAGTGTCCCTGCCTTGGTGTAAGAGGACTTCACCTTTCTCTCTGGATTTGGGCTAGAGCAGACACGTGGGGTCTGTGGGAGTTAGGGGTGGCTGTGACCCTTTGATAGACAGCTGCCCTGATGCTGCTGGAAGCGTCCGCTGCGCCCCCTCCGAGGCAGCTGACACTGTTACTCAAATCATCCCATTCCTTCTGCTAAAACTACATCGGGCAGAACATAGAGGATTCGGGGAAAGCCACTTGATAAGACTCTGCCACTGACTTGGACAAGCCGCTTGACTAACCTCTGCTTTCACATCTGCATTTATCATGTAGTATTAATATTACTGGCCTCTCTAAATGTTAGAGATTTAGACTGAATTTTCAAAAGGTCCTAAACAAACCCGGCAACTGGGTACCAAAACTTAAGCTCTGAAATGGCACTTTCCTTCCAAAAGAGTTGTTACTCCCTAGCTTGTATTTTCTCATTAGGAAATTTAAAAAAAAAAAAAAAAAAAAAAGTCTTTATTTACAAAACAAACCCCAAAAGCTACTGGAGGTCAGGATAACTGATGTTCTACCTCCTCACACTGTATGTAGTGTCTCACGTTTCAGCTCTTTTCAAGCAGGAGGGATTTTCATACTGCAGTTGCTGTCTGTGAGTAGGTGGAATTACGAGTTTGCTCTGGAGAGGGTCAGAATTGACCCAGACCCTTGTATATTTTGGCCTGGAAAGTCTTCTGAAGGTACCTCAGATTTTCCCTGATGGACCTTTCTGTGCCAGAATCAGATTGTGGGTCTGCTGTCATTAATACCAGGGCTGTGTGCAACTGGATCTCCAAACACTACAAATCCCATCTGAATGGAGCGTTAGTTATACGATTACATTTCTGTCTGATTAGCCAGAGCACGTGAGATACAGCTTTTGTTGGCTTTATGTCAGTTGTGGGAGTTCAGATAATATCTCATTTGTAAAATCAGAGCGGTGTGGATGTATGATGCCTACTCTGAAATTAAATTGGTTTCTGGAATTAACACACTGGTATTTCCCAAACAAACTCAACTGTTCTTCTTCTAGTTTTGAACCGTGTTATGTCTTTGCAGGACTTTTGTTCTGATCTTAGAAGCCCCAAAGCTGTATTTGCCATACTATCAAAAATTAATGACATGCTTTAGTGCTACTTGGACTGACCAGCCCGTGCCGCGTTTAACTTCCCAGTGAATCAATAAAACAAAACTACTTTATGCACGAGTGCAGACACTTTGCAGAAAGCTGACTGATTGCAAGTGTGTGGGTATCCCCACGCAGGACGTCGATTCTGTTAGTCAGCGCGAGCTCCCTGCTTGCCATCAGGCTGGCTGAAATTGTGACTGGCTATCACTGGTGATTAAAGAAAGAAGCAAGAGAGCTCTTCTGCAGTTTGTCACTGCCGTCTGTCTCTCGAATCGCAGCAGTCCTATTGTGCTTCCCCAGCATAGAGATATGTTGATGAGCAAACAGCTTGAAAAGGGGTTTGTCTGTAGCCGTGCCCAGTCTACTGGCACAACAGATCTGAACAGCTGCAGGAATAGAGCACTGTATTTTGGCTTAACAAAAAATTAGGGGTGGAATAATCTTGGCGTCTTAAATTGTAAGCAAGAGCCGTTCACAATGTGAATGAGATCATGGCTGCTGAACTACACTATTGGAAAAGCAGCAGCTCGAATACATGTTTCAGTAGCTCTCAGGGTGTGTTTGCACAAATGCAGAAAATGAAGTTAGCGTGTTTTAAGAAGTTACTGCGTGTCAGCTGAGGGTAACAGGCCATCTGTATGCTTTCTGCTCCTGCTGACTGCGGAGTTAAAGCTGGTTAGCTCAGGGGTGGTTTTCAACAGCTGTATCTCAGTTGACAGGCAGTAATTTCATAAGCTATGCTAACTCAGTTATTGCTGCATAAACATATCTCTTCACACAAGCATGGATCTGATTTGCAGAGAGGTGCATTTTTTCCTGTGAACTGACAGTTTTTGTCATTCCTTTGAAATGTACTTACCAGAGCTTTTCATTTCCGTGAAACACCATCAACATTGTACCAAGAGGGGTTTTTAACCTGTATTTCAAGCTTAAGGGCCATAAGCTGTGAGTGTCCAGAAAAAGTGCATTTCCTGATGTAATGGAGTTTTTTGACCATACTAACTGCTGCAGTGGAGAAGAGAGTTTGGAGAAAGGGAATTTATCTCTGGTGTCCATACACCAGACCTGGAGATGTGTTACAGTTCAGTACAGAAGTGCACTTGATAAATACTTTAAAAGAGTGTATAGGTAAAGAATGTTGTTACAATAATATATATAAATACTGATGAAGCTGTGCAGCTTTTAAAGCATTTATTATAGGCAAACAATTCTGTGTCCATTTAGGAGCAATAGCCATTGCAAACGTGATAGCAAGCTGTTGATCCAGTCATTTTAATTAATAAAATAAATCAACAAAGACTGTCTTGCCAGATAGTTGTGCTTCTGAGAGCAGATAAAAGGAGGAGGTCCAAACAAATGATTGGACAGTTTGTTTGTGTTACTTTTCAGGTTTTTGCTTTGTTCTAGTAAAGGAGCAAGGTTTTATCAAATGGATCACAGCTTACATTGTAAATCATGTCTTGATAGGATGATAGAAAGGTTTTGCCAAACGCGGAAAAAAAGTTACTTCTTGACTTAAAATAACTTACCTGGTTTTGTGCATTTAAACCATCTGTGGCTTGTGTATGTCTGGGCAGAAGCGCATTCATTTCGGCCTGTCCCCCCATCTATTAGAATAATTAAAGGGTTTCTCAATGTTGTGCAAATGAAGAAGAGGCAGGTCTACAGGTGTGAACGGAAAAGCAGATCTGATGGGCTGCGAGCATGTTCAGTGGGAACTGCAGCTGTGATTCAGCGTGCAAGTCCATTAATTCTCTGCCAGCCAGAGCTGTCCTTCAGGAATGAATCACCAGTTTTGTTACCTTTCAGATTTCTGTGTTACAGTTGTTGAGTGCCTTCCTCCCAATACCTGATCCAACGACTGCATTGCAAGGCAAGGCATAATCCTGTGCGGAACAGAACCACCCACTAGGCTTCTTATCATTTTCTCTGGTTGAATTAAAATGATTTTTAGATTTTTTTCCTCAAGCCTTTTTCTTTTGAAATGCCCTTAGTGAGTCACTGCTTTCATTGCAAGATTGTTACCTAAATTACAGCCACCTCCATGTAACAGCCTTCCAGCCCTCTTTGTTCTCCTCTTCCTTTTCTTCATGCTTTGTCTTTTCAATCAGTAACTCTGTTTCAGACAGCTGAATCATTAGGGACAGGCCCTCTTTTTTTTTGATGCACAACTGCCTTTTGATGTTCGGAATAATTCTGGGGTTTGGGTGTAGTTTTATTAGTTGCACAGCTGCTGGAGGTGACACAAACCATGCACAGGAGTGTGCGTGACCAGAAGGGGACTGGACTATTTTTTTTTTTTTTTTTTTTTAAATCAGCCTGTGCTTACCTGAGCTTGAACTGGTTGAGAAACTGCAGGCCCTTGCTTTCAAACCATCTTCCGTGCTGAACCTGAACACAGTGATGCCACAGGCAAATCTGTGCAGGAGCCCAGTAGCCGTGTCACCAGTGCCATCGTTTCTCAGCCAGACGGCCACCTCCCCGTGCAGGACGGTGCCAAGGGCAGGAAGGGATTGGACAAACTTACATCTGAACTGATTTGCCACGAGTAGCCTGCTCTGCCCTGTTTTGGCCCGTGTCTGCCGGCGTTTCCCCAAAGTGCAGCTGGCATACCGGTCAGAAACGGGTAATTAACACGTGTTATCCACACCATTTTTTTTTTTATTTTTTATTTTTTTTGAATGGATAAAAGAAATTAGAAGAGCTCTGTGGTCAGGCTGTTCAGCTCTCTTTTACAAGAATTCAGGATAAGAGGACTAACAGCCCTGTTCCTCCTGTAACTGATGCCCCTCTAAGATGGGTATCTCCTTAGTAGGAGCTGCCCTGGTACACCAGTTGTACTCCAGGAAAGTAGGCGAGGGTGCCCTAGCCACTACTGCATAGTTACATGGCAAACAGCATAGTGAAAATCCTGCTCGTGAAAGCCGAGCAAGCAATAAAAAGTTGATGTTTCACCGTTAGGTCTTGCTAGCTAGCATGATTTTAAACTAACGGAGAAAAAAAATTTTTAATAAAATTCAAGCCATGCTTTACCCTATGTCAGTACCAAAAAACCCCAATCAAAATGGCTCAGTGTTTCATTTGCCATTTATGTTGCTGCTGCTTCCCGATTTGTTTGAATTCCCTCCTCCACCCTGAAAATTATTAACTGTTACTTTGACTTTTCCCCTTAAAGCCTCATGTATCTTCCTGCTTTAGCCGATGCTGGCAAAAAAGATACGGTAGCTATTGCAGAAATGTTTGCATACAACAGTAGCCTATGCTTTCCTCCTCTGAATAAGGTGTGTAGTGATTTTTTGAACCTTTAGATGACCTTGTATTTATCTAAATATATACTACCCTTGCTATTAATTTTTGTACATTGCCAAATCCTTTAATCCTGGCTCAAGCTCTAATAGTGCCTTGCTACATCTGTTGAGATTAACTCTTGGACTAAACTCATTTATTTATACAAAATCATGGAAAACTTTCCATGGGAGGAAAAGCAGCATCTTTTAAGTGGGTGGGAATAAGGCACAAGCTAGGAGTTATGACCCTGAAGATGATCTCTTGGGGACCTTGCAAAAAAAGTTAGAATAAATAAGTCAGAAAATGTAAACCGTGAGAACTATTACCGGTAAGTTAACATCAGAGAGCTTGTCAACGCTAGCACAAGTAAAAATTCTCTTTCCCTAAGAAATCCATTATAATTATTGGTTTTGAACATGGCAAAAGTGATGCATTGAGAACATTAGGTGTTTTATTTGGGAGAAGTTCCAAGATACCTAGAAGCAGTGACATAACTGTCTTGGGTCTTCTTTCATTTCCAAATTCATGTTTAGCATTGTATATCGCATCCAGAAACGGGAGGAGCATTATGTTAACAACCAAAGGCAAATGAGCTTTTGATTACAGTGTGGGATTTGGGGCTGCATTTAGATCCACCATTTTTCATTATGATTAATGGAAGGCTGGTGTCCAAGTACTTCAGGTTTCTTTACACATCTCAGGCATAGACGCTGTGGGCAATTAAAACAATTCTCAAAGCATCAAAAAAGAAAGAAGTTAATATCACTTCAGCTATGGAGTCACCCACATGTATCATTTGTGTGATGGGGCTGAGACTTTCACTGATGGGTACATTTTTCCTAACTTGAAAAATCATCTCCTGCATCTCTTGCACAGGAAATGTCCAAGAGAGCCTCACTCTTAGCTATAGTAAAGTATTTAAAAGGCATATAAAGTATTTTGTTTGAATACCAGTACTTTTTGTGTTTGTACCAGTCAGCCTGTTTCTCAACCTCCCCTAGCAAAGCAGCATCGCTGAGCTATGAGCTGCCTGACGAAGGGCCCCTGTGTGTGATGCCAGTATCCATGCTGGATTTCTTGTGCTAATCGCCGTGTTTCCATCTATAAACTGCACAGAAATCACCACTACATTATATAATTCCAGGATATCGTCTCCTTGCAGAACTGGCACGGCCAGCTGAGTGAGTGGTTGGGTGAAGCCATACCTTACCTTGGTTTTTGGATTGGCCCTTTGGTTCTGTGAGTCCCCTGAGCAGGAGGGCGATGCGCAGGCCAGTCTCAACTGCAGGGACCCTTCGATGGGGGAAGCGAGGTCTTACCGGTCCACAGTGCTGCTGTGACAAGTTCTCTGCCCGTGCTGTCGTAGCCGTAACAACAAGCATATTCTGAGTCTTTAACATGAAGTATGATGGATTACAGTTTGTCCCCTTACTTGGACAAAAGGTTACCTTGCTGGATTTTGGGGGTGTGGGAAGAAGTGATCGGGTATTACTATTAACTGTTGCTTCCCTTAGGGAATTTGGGATACTTCTCAAGTCTGGGGTGCTTACCTGGACACGCCACGCGTGACAGTGCTGCTAACTAACTTGGAGGCTTAAGGGTGAAAATCAACTCGGAGCGGGAAGATTTTTTTGATTTGATTTGATTTTTTTACCCCCTTGGAGACAAAATTGTGCGAGATGACTAAATAGAGAAGGGCAGCTCCCGGATCCGCCCGGGCCCTGCAGCGCTTGACCAAACTGGGGCTGCGGGAAGTGACTCGATGCTTCCAGCTCTCCAAATGACCTGCCTGCCACGGGGTGGGAAATCCTGCCTCGGACAGGGTGTCTCCGGAGGGTGCTGGTGCTTGAGTTACGTGTCACGGTACAGAAGCTGTGTTGGGTTGAGAGAGAAAAAGGTCTGGAGATACGGACTAAAGGTCCAGGTTGCCGAAGGCTCTGGTCTGGCTTGACTTTCACTTGGGACCACAAGAAAGAAGGATGACGCTGTGAAGTGGAGAGAAGGTTGGGATGCTGGGAAGTGTAAAACTTCAACCTCGTCACATCCTAGCCCGAATCCTTAAACAGTGAAAGGGAAATAATTTCACTTCTCCCCGGATGTGGGGACCTCTGAGTGACATGTGAATTTCTGCAGGCACATCCTATTTCAACACACTGTTAAGATCCTCCCCATACTCCAGTCTTTAACCCTTATTTAAACAGTCTCTCCAGCATTTCTGAGTTAGGGGGGGATGCAGGGGAAAATGCTGCGTTAAAGGTCAGTTGGGAACGCTGCAAATTACCGTTTGAAAATAATCAGTCCCAGGACCTTGCTGTGAATTGGACCCTTGGAGATGTCTTCACTGTCAGTGATGCTGGCAGCAAAGAAGCTGCTTTCACTGCCTGTCAAAATTTTTTGCACAGCCCTGCTATGTGGTAGCCCAGGGGTGGGTCATTGCTTTTGAAGCATCTTCAAATAGTCGCCAAGGGGAGTCTTGCCTCTGGGGTTTCTTTCTGGAATATTCTTTCTGTTTCAGCTCGATTAGCAGATACACAGATAAATCGTAATGGTTAACCAGCTCCTGCAGAATGTTTGTCAGCTGTTCTCTCAAATCAGTTTTCAGTAATGGATACGTGGCACTACTCTCCCTTGTCCTTTGCTGACAGGGAAACTGAGGCACAACAGTTGCACCGGCTTGTCCATGTTCAGAAGCAGATACGAGAGTACACACCAGGAGTTCTGGCTCTTGTTAGAGATTTTTTTTTTTGCTGCATCATGCTGCTTCTTCTAAAAATACCTGCCTTTGTTTCTAGACAAATTACTGGGTTCTTACTTATAAACATAGAACTCATTTTAGTCTATGTATATTTTACTAAACTTGTTCTCTAAGATTAAATTGAATTCCGTTTAGTTAGAACCACATTGAACATTTTAGCAAGATCTTTAGACATGCTTAATTTGAATGTTTCAGGAGTATCACTTGTTACCCACGCCCATCAGCTCAAGTGCAGGCACTAAGGCTAGGACACAGTAGAGAGCTTTGTGCATTCAAAGTCTCTTCTCTAACTTATCGTACGAGAATATGTGGGCTTTTTCTGTAATGGGACTATACAGGCATGCAAATCTATTCACCCACATTTGATTTCAGTTTTCTAAAGGAATAAAATGCTAAAGTGCTTTTGAATATAGTATTTTGACAGTGAAAAAAGGTCAAGTGTTGGTGAGATTTCAGTACAGATAATTGAGATGCTAAGGGCTGAAACATCTTGCTCTCTTCATTAAATTTCATGTTACATACATGCAGCCAGGTGCAGGAAACCCAGCTAAAGTCTCTCTGTGTCTCTCAAGTTCCACTTGAGATTCAAGGGTGCGTAGCACACTTGTCCTCTCCCTTCTCTGTTGCAAGTTAAGTATCTCTGTCCTGTGTGCCAAGCTTAGAAAAGAGACTTATAACTATATTTTACAGATCTAATTACCTGGTTTGTAGAATTTTGGGCTGCAGCATTTTGAAAAATCATTTCTTTTATATTGGATAATGTTATGGAGCATCAGGGAAGGAGCATCAGTTCAAGGAAAATGTTTAAGAATTGTTCAGATCTTAAAACCCCACTACATTCAATACTCTGCCTCTCTTTCTGTTTTTACTACAGGTTGGATTTTTTCCTAGTGAGTGTGTTGAACTAATTAACGACAAAGTTCCTCAGTCCGTGACCAATTCTGTGCCAAAACCAGGTATGTGTGTTAAGTTTTACGATGCAGTGAAATCAAATGGAGTTATCTTTTTGGTGTTCTGTGTTTAATATCTCCTTTACACATACCGTGTTATACTCTGTGTGTTGATCATCCTTTATACATACTACGTTTTCCTTTCTGTGTGTTGATCATCCACACGTTACCTCTCTCTGAATAGTTCCACTGTTGAATGTCTTTCACCTGTGGTGTTCTGTAAGCTCACATCAGCGTCCATCTCCTGCATGATATGAAAGATTTTAAGCTTTTAAGAATTTAAGATACCTTCAGCAACCTGTAACTAGTGATTCCATGCAATATCCCAGTTCTTGGTGCCCAGAGAGTGCTGTGTGTTAGGGTTTTTTTCACACAGAACATACAGGTGACCCAAAAATGTTTATGCTGACTTAGACAGAATAGATTAATTAAGCACCGGAAGCTTCTTTCTGTCTGAGGATTGATGGAGAAAGTCAGATATAACAGAACTTGGAATCCTAATTGCTTCTGCTCTGGGTATATGACTCCATCTACTTCCTACTGCCTTCTGGACAGTTTTGTATTGTATGAAATACAGGCAAATTAATACCAAGCTCTGCTGAGGAAAGGAAAAATAAATAGAAAATGAGATCTTGGATCTGATTCTCCTGTCATCCTAATATACACTGGAAGTGAGTGCAGTTAGATGTGCTGGTGTAACCGAGATTTCTGCAGAATTTACTGGTGCTGAAGCTTTTGTTTAATTCTTCCAATTTTTTTAAAAAAAATCTATATTTTCAATAAATATCTGTATATCTTTTGTATCAAGAGAAGCAGTTTGAAATTGCTGATCTTTCTTAAAACGTTATGCAGCTGCCAAGTCGAGTTGGAAAGCTGGTTAACTGGTGTTCTTTTCATCCGTTTTCTCTATTTTAATGACATTCCTTATCTTATAAGATTGCTGACTTGATACTTTAAAACAAATAGACATGATTCAAAAGTTTGACTTCTACTAAGGGAAATGCATTTTATCAGATCTTGTGTTACAGCTTGGAACTTTCGGTTCAGTGGTGAAAAGTCATGAACACCCTGGGCTATCAGTGCACCGCATCAATCTGCGTGCTTCAAAGAGCTGACAGTTTGGGGAAATAGTTTTCCGAGCCACTGGTATCTCCAGCCTTTGTTATTCCTGGGAACATGCAAATGTGTTTGCCAGAATCAGTGTCACAGAGATCACTGGCAATTCAGAGTGCTGCAGCAGGTGGTCATTCCATAAATCCAGTATCTGCCTTTTGTTGTTTGATCTCTAAATACTGCCATCAGTCACCCCTCTGTACTCTGTCAGCTAAAGCATGTAGACAAGGGCAACTTTAAATCGAAATACGGGCCAGGCTGATAGATACAATCATAAGCAAGTGTTTATTATTAAATATGGCTCAGGCAATTAAATGTCATGCACTGCTAGTGAGTGGTTTCTTGCTATGCTTTAACCAGAGATAATGAAGCTGCATAGATTAATAGATTCTATTTGGCTTTAACAACACGCTGGGGGGTGGGTTTCCTCTTTCAGTCCTGGGAAACGTTTGTTACGAAGTTGATACCAAAAGCCCAAGTCCTATTAAAAGTAATAAGTTGAAAGATACTGCCAAGTCATGAGACTGTCCCTGTTGACCTTCCCTGATAGTTGTTCTGTGCCTACAATTAAAGGCAAAAGACTACTCTAGAAGAACGCTAACGAGCTTTCAGATGTAGGGATCGCTAGAACCAGCGTTGGAGCTGTTTCTGCAATCCTCCCCTGCCCTTCCTTTGCGTGCAGAATTTATGATACCATTTCTCTTTGTGGCGTTAAGCTTTCTATTTTTTCCACCTTGGGAAGTAACAGTATTTGTATGGTGGAGGCCGAAGTCTGGAAGGCTCTTCCTCAGCTCCTACAGAAGTTGTGACCTGGCGGGGGCTGGGAGTCAGAGAGGAGGTTCCCCCGTAGTTCAGGCGTGTTGAACGCGACGTTGGAGAAGTCGAGGAACCTTTCTCTTTCCTGGAAGAAAAAAAAAAAAAAAAAAATGCGTGAAATGCAGAAGGGGTGAGAAGATGAAGGGGGAGGAAGGCGCTTGGGTTTCCTGGGCTGGGTCCGAGGGGCCGAGCACAGCCCGGGAGGTGGCACGGGGGCAGGAGGGAGTTGCCGGAGCCACTGCGGAGGAATGGGAAATCCAAGCTTTCCAAGTGGTTCCTCCAGAGCCTCCCCAGGAGTTGCATGGCTGGGGTAGTGCAGGAAAGCTTGCATCTTCCTCACCCGTATTCCCTGCGTTCTAGTCTGTGGCTTAAACATATAGGGTAGTTCTCATACACTTAAATATCCACATGAATTCATTTTCTCCCTTTACCTATATTTGAACCATCAGATTGGCTTTTCCCAAGGAATAGAGACTTTTCTAAAAGAAACCACTTGCAGCTTCTGTCCTTACTCAACATTAGCAGGGTATTTCATCTAGAATTAATGTAAAGTTTTAGGGGTGGGCTTGATAAGACATACTTACCAACATGCAAACTTTATTTTCTTTAATGAAAATGTGACGTGGAGACCATCTAGAACATTTTTGTATGTGCAGCAAGAAGTTCCTTGCCATGAAGGAGTTTACAAATGTAGAACTCCTTGGGTTGTTTAATCATCCATAGATTCGTCTGGGTTGAGTAATCTAATGAGAAGCAGATGGAAAGCAAAGAACTTCCTGCCCTGCGTTTTTATTATTATTTATAATTAGAGGTTTTGATTTGCAGAAGTGATGGGGACAGCGTTTTAGTAGAGCCATAAAATATTGCAATGGTCTATAATGCAGTACAAATAATGACTGAAGAACAAACCAAAATTAAACACAGGGAATGGGAGAGGAGGCTTAGGTTTAAGTGCAAACTCTGCTTTTGGGAACAATATTGTCTTTGACTGTGGAGGTACACGCTTACACCAGTGATAATGCAGCCAGCGCCTGAGGGAAATGAAAGAAAAAGGACCAGACAGGAAAATGGTCCATTTTATCCAATTCTGAAAATTCAAATTAATAAGAGAGAATATTGGTTTTGCCTTGAGTCACCTCTGAAATATATTTGACAATTAAGTTTGGATTGTCAAAGTTATCATCTCCCAAAATACTGCTAGGGATAGGTATGCTTGCAGAGATAGATCCATATATATACACAAATATATGCACACAAACTATCACCTGAAAATTAAAGTCAGTCTCATTATCACTTAACAAATTCGTTTAGTTGTTTTCCTTTTTCAAATTCTGTATACATGAGAAAGTAATACGAGGGAAAAAAAGGGTGCTTAGGAGGTTTTGGAAGTTACCTGTGGGGGTATTATTTTCCCTTCAGTATTATACTAAGCCCGTGCCCCATTTTTTTCATGTTCAGCACTGTAAGAAAATGCTTTTTTTTGTCAGGTGGGATGCAGACTGATATCCTGACTGTTTCTATTTACGTAAAAAGCGCTGTAAACATCCAGGAAGGTGGCGTGGGCTCACCAGATCCCAGTTCTCTTGAGCACTTGCCTTTTTTCTAAATTCTTCCTGTATTCTTACTCAGATACAGTACTCTAATGATACATTCTTAGCCTACATTATTATATTGAATTGGTATCAAATCTTTCATAGCTAATACCATTTACTGACAATTTAGCTGGGATTTGGTACTACAGTAGACGGAATCAGCTCGTATTCACGAAGATTTTTGAAGAGATACAGGATGAAAGGTTGCATTTGAATTTCAGATATTCGGTGAGAAGTGAATCTTTTAAATATTCATTGTGCTGCTTGGAAGAGAGAAAATGAATAGCTGTTTTGTTTTTTCCTTCTAAGTGAACGTTTGGGAATTGCCTGTGGATTGTGGCTGTGTTTACTCTTCTCATCCACTTCTGTCCATCTCTGGTTGGTCTTCTCCGGGAATGGTGTGTGTTCATGTTGTCCCCACTCATCATTCTGGTGTAGTTAAGTCACAGGCAGCACGTCTCAGCTATCTGTTTCAGTCTGTTCTTCCTCATCATTCTGGCTATTTGTAGTTTAACAATATTTAAAGTCATACCTCACGCTTCAGCTCATACATGCAATTTGTTTCACGTCTTTTGCTAACAAGTAGCATCTTGCTGTGTACCGCATCCTTGCTGCAGCGTGCCTTGGCATGATAATTTGTTTGAAGGTTTCTAAACGTGGTTGCTGCTGGGGAGCATCTGGTTTTGGTGGGGAAGCAAAGAGTAAAGATGCAGTTTGCAGAGGGACAGGTAGAGCTTAAGTGAAGAAACGGGGGATAAGAAGGTAATGTTTTCCTTTTTTTTTTTTTTTTTTCCCCCCAAAAAAACAATGAGCATTTTTAAAAGTTTAGGGAGCTTTTTCACCAGTTCCTCAGTCTCATTTAGGACAAATGAATGAATAAACCCAGCAGCTCTGCCCAACTTTACAGAGGATTTTTCAAATTCCTGTCTCATCCATTCATTTAATTTAGATTTAGCAGTTAAATGTACTCTTATGATATTCAACTAAGGATACAATAGAGGGTACCTGTTAGTATTACAAGCTGTTGTAAAGAATATTTTTTTAAAAAAACATAAATAACAGATTAATCTGGGTTAACATGCCAAATACAAATAATCCACTGAATTTAAGGAGGATTGAAATTTAGGTCTGGATCAGGCAACAGGCTCTATTCTGACCTCCTGAGGACTGGTATAGCCCTGAATGAATTAATTTTAACTGCAAAAGTGCAAACTGAGTTACATTCATTGTGTTAGAGCTCTTGCAGTCATAACAGACTCTTAAAAGGTCATGCCTGCTTTGCAACAGGCTAGTTGCTAATCCCCGGACAAAAAAAGATTACACTTGGATTTTGTTAAATAAAAATATAAATCAGGACGAACCAGGTACAAATAGAACTTAAATTCTGCAGATGCCTGGGTTGAACAGCCACGAGACACTGATGAGTATATAATGTCTTAATTAGTGTTTTTATAAAGAAAATATGGAAAGATAAAATGTATGTAATTAGTACCAGTCTGGTTAATCTTGTGTAAACAAACCAGTTCAACATGCAACTGTCTCATTAAAGCTAAATTAAATGAAAATTTTATTGAGCCAAACCAGGTATCCATTTTCAGCATGGGAGCAGACAGGGCATAAACGTCCTGACACGCTCAGGGCCACCAAGTTCAGTTCCTGATGCAGAAGGCAGAAAAGGCGCTTTCAGTGTTGACAGACCTAAGGACCAATCCTTCAAGAAATCACGTTCTTTCAGCTCCTGTGGAGCTCAGGCAGAGCCAAGAGCAGGCAAAGATTTCAGGATGGAAAGTCGGCAGTGTGAGTGTAAAAACTATACCTCTTCAGGGGACTTGCACACGTCTCTGAAACGTGCTGCAGGTGTTTCTCCAAGGCTCAGAAAGCCACCGAGATTCAGCCTGGTGGGATGGGCGTTCAGGTGGAGACTTCAGCAGGACAGTGCCAACTTGCTTACACCCCAGGTTTGAGCTGTTCTGCTCCGTGCGGAGGTTATTCCCTGGACACTGGTGTTGTCTCTCTTCCATCCAAAAAACAAGCTAACGCTTGGGGCAGAGGCAGCAAGAGCAAAGCGCGTTCTCTGCCATTAATGATTTTCAGGGAGAACATTTGTCACTAGGAAAATATAGCTCTGAGACAATTTTGGTTTTGTTTTTGCATGGAATGGATAATGAGATCAAGCAGTTGTCTGCTCCAGCACCATTAGAAATGGAGGAAAGCTAAATGTGTAAGGAACCGAATTACGCAAAATGTGAATTTACAAATCTGGGAGTTGTTTTCTTTTGTAAGTGGTTGGCACTGTCCATCTATATAAAGAAACGTTCATCTTCCAGCCCTGTTTCTGACTCAACAAAGTACTTAAACACGGGCTTAACCATAAACACATGCTTAGCAGACACTGGAAGTAATGCAAACAAATCCTATAGTTTGCTGTGTTGCTCAGCAGGGATGGGCCTTGTGCTAAAAGTTCAGACATGCAAAATGTGTGGGGATTTTTTGAGCTGGGACACACTGGGTGGGGAATTCTTGGATCCTAATGAATTTCCAGAGTGTTCAGGGAATAAAGCACCGAACAACTTGAAGGATTTGGTCTGTAGTTGTGTTTTGTGCTGTGTATAGCCTAGCTGGGCTTTATTTGAAATGAACCCATTTTCAATGGGTGCATGTTTTAACCAACTTTTTTTTGTTTGTTTGTTTGTTTTTTTTTAATTATACCTTCCCAGTCTCCCCTGCCCACGGAGCCCGTCCAGCGTCCTGGAGCTACTTCCCCCCTTGTACGTTTTCATTTATTCCTTTTTTCTTCTTCTTTCACTCCCTGTCTCTCTCTGTTTTTCCTTCTTTTCTTATTTTTCTGTACATGCAAGTCAGTAGCACTGATGCTTTGAAGGATATTCAGGGAAACCAAAACAAACCCTTAGTCTAACGTGCCTTTTCTAAAGCTCTTTGGACATAAAATAATACAGCAGGGAAACAAGGAAACTGATTCTAAGTCTTTTCTGTTGGAGATGATAGAATCATTTTGCATCAGTAAAACCTGAAAGAAATTAAGTGCCAGGCCATCAAATACAAATGTCAGTTTGAGAGAAAGAAGTTAAAAAAGCAGGTGACAGGAGTTAAACATGTCTCTGAAAGTCTGTTAGGACTTAAAAATCTTCAGAAGCAAAGAGTTGCGGGGTTTTTTCTTGTTAAAGATCAGAAAATAGTGTTTGAGCTTAACGTCTCACAATGCCCAAAGTGCAACTGTGGAGTTATGTGGGAGCAGCTTTCTTCTCCAGAGAGTCCTGCTTCATGTTGCCATAGTCTTTTTTAGATCCTGCTAGTACTAATCTAACCCTCACAGCAATAACCTAGTGCCAGTAAAACTGGAGACTGTTGCCATAGATTGAACATTTTTTACAGTAAAGGTCTCATTTACACATATCGACTCCCCCCTGGGATGTTGTTTGGAGTTCATAAATCAGTCTTAAACCTGGCTATGCAAATACTGCAGATAGATGTATATAACTAATTATATGTGTATATGTATATATACACACACACACGTGTATATATATGCTTTCCCCATGCACAGTTCCAGCCTGCTGGCACAGAGGCTGTGCGCTGATACCCTGGTAATGTGGGAAACAGGCACATGGTTCCTATTCACAACACTTCCTCCAGAAGAATGTTATTTGACAGCAAATTTCTCGTTTCTGGCGGGGAGACTCAACTTTCTGAGCACCTTCCTGAGCGTGTGCCAACATTATCAGCTGCTCTCCAAAGAGAAAGGTAGAGACTTCAGAGAGGAAGGCGGGAAGGGGGTTTGTATTTTGGATTGTGATCATGGAGAGCGCATGTGGTGAGGCTGCTTCTACTGCACATATCCAAACCCACAAGAGTCAGGGAATATTTAAACTGGGGTAGAGTCTTTAAGAATGAGGGCAACATTTATTGCTGTGACTGGCTATATCCACTGATAAATAAATAACCTGCCAAAAAGTTTGGGAGGAGTCAGAATAGGGAATGCTCCTAAGATCCAAAGAGTTTCCTTTGGACATACGGGTACTGAAAAAGATTTTTCTTAGTTTTTTTTCCTCTTTCATAGCCAAGTTTCTTGAATCCATGAGCCCTTCAAAGATGCCGTTCCTGCTAAGGATCAGTAGCGGTTAACTTCAGATAATCAATCAAGGCGGGGTTGGGCTTTTTCCCCTTTTTAACATGAAAACAAAGAACAGCCAGCTTTCCGGTTCCTTAAGGCAGCCTGGAAGGTTAGCGTTCAGAGTCACCCCCCTTTTTAAGCTGTTTGTGAGCGGGAAGAGTTCAACACTGGAGCAGCTACAATGCTTCTGCTCAAAGGTATAAGGCTTATTAGTGGTTCTGCTTGGTTTTCATGTGAAATGAATTTCTTTTGACAGCCATGTCCCTTTGTGAGTCATGTAATTGCAACAGGGACTAGCAGCTCGGCTGTCGCTGCGCGCAGAGCATCACTGGAGAGATCACAGGCCACAACCCTCACGTGCCTGAGCTCTCCTCTCTGGTCTGCACTGGTGGTTCTTGTTGATAATATTTCTGTGTACCAAAGATCATGGTTGCACATCATCTGTTACTAGTAATTTAGGAAGATACTTCATGTATTTTTTAAGAATGGAAGCTTTGAGGTCCTGTTCAGGCTAGTGTTAGGGGGGCAGTTACTTTTTGAATTCATTTTTTGGCCCTCAACTTGCCCAGATAAAACGAGCTGAGTTCTGAATAGGGAGGCAATGGCTGAAATATGGTTTTGAAACTGGGATGGAACGCCTCTGAAAATGAGCTCTAAATCTTTAGTCTCCCAACAATACCAAAGACCACTGTTGTGCCAGTTGCAGCTGTGTTTAAAGTCACCGATGCTTCCACTAGCGTTTGTCAACCTAAATTGAGATCTATTTTATATAATTTTTTAAACTCTTTTTACAGTGACAGCTCCATTTACCGTGATAGGTGTGTTTGCATTGGAATTGAGAATTAGACTGCATACACTGTGGTCACACCTGAGCCAGCTTTAAGCCCAGTGGTTCAGGTACCAGTAGCATCCACCTTCATCTTCAGCAGCTGAAGTTGTCTTGGGATTTGGGTGTTTACTCAGCTTATTTCATCTCACCTCATCTTTCTTGCTATTCACACTGTGAGCTTGGCATTTCACTTAGACTTCTTTTTGCACGTAGACACTGCTAGTTAAGAATACTTCAGGCCTAGAGCATGCCAGAGAAACACCACCTTAGAATGCATAACCCTGAAATCTGGATTCTTCTAGCACTGTTTCTCCAATTGCTGTCCCTACAAATTAAATTGTTTGTCTCCTGCAGTTTGTTCCAGGAGGTATTTTAATTTAACTTTGTCCTTTCTCTTGCCTTCTGTCTGTTCCTCTGCCCTCTTCCCACCTGACCTTAATTATGTGCAGATTTGGAGATGGATAGTGTAAAGCCAGGTTCTGCATATGTTACAGAGGCTCTGAACCAGTCCCAGCTGAGCTCAGGTAGAGCCCGTTATGTACAATTAGTCTCTCAGTGTCCTAACCAAGTCTAACACTGTACGTGATAGCAATAACCATTTACTAACAGCCTAGGTTTGGTTACCGAAGGTAGATGTAGTTGAAGTACTTTATCATTATTTTTTTGGTGTTAATATCTAAGAATTCGCCTTCTCCCAGGCAGACCTTCTGCAAGTGATTTCATTCAAGTCAGCGAGTCCAAATCTTTAAGAGTACTGCTTAACATAACTGGCTCTTGTATTGCTAATGCTCTGCAGTATCTGTGGCTACATGGTTATTAGTCTGTGTATCATAAATTAGCTACTTTTTTTTTTTTTTTTTTTTTTTTCCCTGACTGCTGAATTTCTAAATATAAAGTGTTCTTCTCTTCCCAGGCTTTCAATTTGTGCCTCAGAAAGATATATCCAAAGAGTGTGCCAAACCCTATTTGACCGTGTTCTGGAGGAAAGAACTTGCTTGAATAAGAGAGAAAAGAAATGTGGTTAAATACTGTAGTTTTATGGCAAAGTAAATGACCCTAATGTGCACCCAGTTGCACAGTGATAGCAGAAAACAACTGTGTTGTGTTGTCATTGTCATGACAACGTCGCTTTAGCTTTTCAGAACTAGCATTAGGTAAAATTAAAGTGTTCCAGTGGAACTAAGGAGCTCAGACATGCCTCTGGTACATTTTATGTACTTAAGCAATTTGATCGCCCGTTACTGAGAGGTGTTTGATAATGGACATTCCAATTTATTTTAGTTTGTTTCGTTAAATTGTATCTGGACTTTTGTTTTCCTGGATCTCCTAAGTGCTTTAAAAGAAAATGTAAGTAGAATTTTTGGCGACCGAGTAGCAAACTGTGTAAGTTCCGTTTTCCAGCAGGCTGGATCAGGGCTTTCTAGTAAGACAGGCAACACGTCATATTTCTTGCAAAGTGTTCAGACAACATGTTGTCCTCTTACCTCCCTCTGTTTCATCTAGTCCCTTTGTAGTGAGGTTGAGATGAATTTGCAGGGTAACTCTACCTTCCATGGGAGATCATCCCAATCTGTTCTTTGAGTAAAATGCATAGGTTAATGGATATTTGGTATTGAAGTGATACTAAGAAACCCAGTCAGTCAGAGCTCACTTGGGTCCTGCTGTCTACAATGCTGATTCCTGTTTGTTAAGGAGGCTGATGGTTGTGCAATTCCGTGATTTTAAGCACTTGGTAAGTGGCAGGCATCTTTTCTACTTGGGTTTCAACTGATTGAAAATCTTCTTGTGGTTGCTATGCGTAAAGCTCTGCCTCTGCTGAAATCCCTGTATTTCCATTGTTACCTTCTAAAGTCACCAAAAGCAGATTTATTTTTGAGCTAGGCTTTAAGGCTTTATTTTGCTCCTGCAATAAGTGTTGTATGCTTCCTTTAAAAATCAAGGATTTTTTTTGAGAGTATTATTTTGCTGGTAGTTTGCATCTTGGGTACATTAGGAATGCCAGACTTGGTCTTCCATAATGACGTTGCATAGCTTGCTTTCAGTGCAGTGAATTCTGATAAAGTGCTTATTTAATCTGAATTGCTCCAGTAATTACTTGTTTTTAGGAGAAAGGGATTTATTGCCATGCCTGCCCAGGAGTGCGTGCAGCTATAATACATGCCATTGCAGTGGTTAGGTTTTTTAGGTCTTTAAATTCATGTACAGAATTGAAGTATAAATCAAAACTGCAGCAGCGTTTTCCTGTTAGTTTTTAATTTCCTTGGAGCCTTCCTTTCTCTTTGCTCTCCCCCCCCTCGTTTCAAGTGATTCTTCCCCCTTCTTTTTTTTCCTTCCCGTTTTTTGGCAGAAATAGAAAGGGCCGAGAACTGTGGGCTGATCCGTGGAAATGCCGCTATATACAGGATTCATCTGGTCTTCTGTGAGAGTCGCACCATAAAATCTGTGATTCTGCCGGAAAAGTCTTGAGTTTGAGAGAACAGCTCCCTAGAGCCTGTGTGCTAGGAACAGATAGCGACAGAAACTCTGAATTGCAGATTCTGTGTTCTTTGGGCGAGTGTGCACGGGCATGTGTGATGAGCATCCCACCAGCCACGACGTACGTCCTGCCCTGGGTACTAAAGAGCCTGGGGGAGTGAATTGGGCTAAATTTGGCCAAGTCGAATTTTACATCCACGAGCCAAGCAGCGTCGAGCCAGTGGGTTTTGTTTTGCTATTTCAGCATGGATTTGGGAAAAGGAACCAGGGAGGCCTCTCCTTCTGGGGCTGCTGCTCCAGTGCCCCCCACGGCCCTCCCCACAGCCAGCCCCTGAGGCACAGAGTCCCCACGACGATTTGTCCAGCTGAAGCTCTGAACAATCTTCTAAATGCCCTCATTTTGCAAGAGGGCAATTTCTTGATACGTTTTCCTGTAGAGCTGCTTGAAAAGCCACTGAGGATTACTGAGGTTGCTCCATAATTAACCATTTTAAGAAGCTGCAGGAGAGCTGGAGGTGCCTACGGGTGCACATGCCAGTGGAGAGTAGTCCCGGGAGGCCCCTACCAAACTGGGACAAGCTGTGGATTTACATGGAGCGGTTAAAAAAAAAGTCCTCCAAGTTAAAAGGTGTTGAATATTTTTTCTGCGTGCTGCAATGAACCTCTGACTAGGAGAACGTATTTTTATATGTAACTTGCTTTGGAATTTAGCCTTCTCTGGCAAATCGGAAATACTTCTCCTGTCCACCTAAAGAAAATCTGTAAATTTTGGCTATCTCATAAGTGAGAGATGAACAAGAATTTTAAGTATTTCAAATAAGTTCCTTAAGGATACATAGCATTAGGATAGGAAGTCAATGTATTTTTTTCTTCCTTCTTAATCCTTTAATCCTTTAACAGTGCAGACGCTTTCTGACAGTAGTAGTAAGAACCAAGCATGCGTTTTGGCATTATTTTTTAAGCACCCATGGTTGTGTTTCTTACCCACAGACTCTGTGGACTAGGTGTTTGTAGTTGATGCAGTATTTGCAATCTGAACAAACATATTTTTGTAACATTTCCTAGGTGCTATGGAAACACGTCTTGTTGGTTATCAGGTATTTGTAAGTTGGTTGACGTTTTCTTCAGGAGGCCTAGATTTGAAAGCGTGGAAGAGAAAGGATTTGGGTATTCCCAAATGTGTCCGAAGGGTCCGGGGGAAGCAGGGTTGGAGGCTGGGGAAGCTTGGCAGGGCAGGAGACAGAAATGTGCACTCACCCAAAAGGTTTGTCTACAGGCTCTAAAGACCCAAGATGAGGAGAAGGATACAGCTGGGTTCTGCCATGTCATTTATATCTCTTTTTTTTAATTTTTTAGCCAAAGTAAAAAGAGAGTTTTCTAATCCATTACAAGACCTGCTTGCCTAAGCCCTTCCAACCCCCGAGAAGGGGGAGCCTTGGTAATTTCCAAAACAAATGTCAAGCGTCCCAAGCAAGTTGTTTGCAGGGATAAGATACTGCAGGGTGAGCGTTGCCTCGCACCCCGTGCAGTCATTTGCACGAGTGCAAGCCAAGGGAAGAAGGTGGCTGCTCGGGTGACCTTCCGGCTGCTCTGTACACCACCGGTACCAGCGCAGGTGCGGGGCGGCGCTGGACGGGGCCCCTCTCCCCAACCTCAGCCCGGATTTGCACTGATGTTTTTCCTGGCACAGCTGAGTCTGCTAGAAGCATGAAAGGGATCGCACCCAGAGCTGGCACAGCCCATCTGCCACCAAAAAAAAAAAAAAAAAAAAAGAGCAAAAAAAAACCCCCACCCTAAACCCTCAGTCGGGGGGTAGGCACAGCTGTGCTGGCAGAAGAGCCCTTTTGTCAGCTGAGGTTGTGTCAAGGGGAAGAGCAGAACTCAGCCAGTTGAGAAACATCTTGTCAGCACATCCTGCATCTCCACTGGGAGGCACTGCGGGTGCGATGACGGCACTGGCAATCGGCCTCCAGCCTCCTGAAGTCACAGGGAAACGCCTGAAGCGCAGGTAGAAGGAAGAGAGGGATTAATTTCTGCACTCCCCATACTGCAATTCCTTCCTTGTGTGTGGTCACTCTCAGCCTCCGAGGCTTTCTGAAAAAGTTGAACCCACAGACGGTAGCTTCAGGCTTCCCGCATTTTGACAGATCGTTGGCCATGTTTCTTGGGGAATTTGAATTGGAAAGGAAAACGAGCAAGCATGGTGTATGGATCTGTGCACAGTCTGTCCGCATCAGTTCAGAAATAATTATGTTGATCTGTGTATTGTGTAGGTAAGAAAGAGAGGTTTTCGTGTTTCTGTTATGGAAACATTCACAGTGTTTGGGGCTGGCATGCTTCACCTTTTTTAAGAGGTTGAGTCCACTGAAATAGGATGACTACTTATGAAATAAAGCGGTAAAACTTGGCTGAGTGCAGGGGTGTTGGAGGCACCAGTGTGCTATTAATAAGGCCAGCTTTCTTTTCACATGTTCTGTGCTGCTTTCTCGCTCTGCCTGCTCTCCACTTATTCAGGTTGGGGGGTTTTGTTATTTTTAAACTTAGATATTTTTTTCCTTTCTCGCAAGCTCTGTCAAAGTGGGACTTAACTCTAATAATAGTTGGCTTGAGCAAAACTCTGCAGTTATGCTAAGAGCTTTGAAATCATGGGAAGAGGTAGCTTGTTCTGCTCTGCTTTTCCTCTTTCCTCCTGAATAATTGTGCAAATTAGTGTGGGAGCCAGGTTGTGGCTTAGAAATATTTTCAGGCAGCTTTAACCTTAGGTGGTAGCACATAGCTCTGATCTCTTCTTGTATTGGCATACGAATTTATCAAGGGTCGTGCCAGTGGATATCTCAAATCTCCAATTAAAACCTGGTCCTGTTAAGTTCACAGAGGCTGAGCACCTACCCCATCACCTCTCTGTACGCAGAGGAGTGGTGCTTGGGCCCTGACTCCAGCCAGCTATCGCTCCCATGCCCGCAGGGAGCAACGATGTTGCTCCATCTGCACGAAAGTGCCTGTGGGGAAGCTATAAATTAATGCTAAAAGCCAGTGGAGCTGGAGAATA